TAAGTGTCCAACTCTTGACTTCAGTTTCAGGTCATGATCTCACATTCGTGGGATCGAGCCCATGTTGGGCTCTATGCTGACAGTACTGAGCCTGCTTGAAATTCTCTCTCCTTCTCTCTGCCCCTCCCCTGCTCTCTGTCTCTCTCTGTCTCTCTCTCTCTCTCTCAAAATAAATAAACTTTAAAAAACTAAAAAAATCCAAATATTTCACTGATTATTATAAGTATCAAATGAGACAAAGTTTATAAAACTACCAAAAGCCTCTACCCAAACACACAAGGCTTCCTCTTGTTTTTTTCATGCTACTAAATGTGCCTGTGAAGTCAAAGGAGGAAAACGGTTAGAAATGTGCTGATGGATGGTTTCTCTACTAAAATATTTTCTAGCAAAAGACATCTTGTTAATAAGCTACTGTGTATACTATAACATATATTTCACAATTTATCTACCTCCTGCAGGATGTCAAAATAATTGGCCTATAATATTTCTAAAATATAGTCAGCCATCTCTGGATTTATTATGTGAATATACATTTGCATAATGATGACTGAATTTACACATCGTGCATCTTTCCAGAATTTAGGCTTCCATTACTCTTTCTTTCAAAATCACAAGTCTTGTTACAAAATGCAAGAGTCTCTAAGCATGGTTACCTTTTTTTTTTTTTTCAGCATAAAAATAAGTGATGGAAGCAGTGTTCCAACCGTTAGACTGGAGATGAGAGATTAGTAATCATTGATTACAAACTTGGAATTTTTCCTGCATTGGTCAGGGAAGAAATGGTTACAGATCTGCTGCCCAACTCAGTCATGGCAGCAACCCTAGCCTCAGTAATTTGGCAGAACACTTGAAGGAGAAGCATTGCTGCCACCACCACTTTATCTGCTGGTGGGAAAGACTTTGCCTACCTCAATCCAAGAGGGGTGGAAATAGGGAGGAGGTGGCCCAGTAGATACTGAGCTGGCACTGTTGATTGACTGTCCCAAAGCCATTCCCAGTTCCATTCTCCCTGATGCCTCACACTACAGAGTGAAATGTCAAGTGCTTTCACATACTCTCTTGCAGCTTTGTGCTACTATATGACCCAGCCATGGCCTATAAGACACAACTGAATTTTTACTTTTTTTTTTTTGTCCTTAGGGCATATTTCATTAGGAATATACAGTTAAATCACTGCAGGGTTTTTTGGTTTTTTTTTTTAATTTTAGAGACAGAGCACAAGCAGAGGAGGGGGCAGAAGGAGAGAATCTTACAGGTTCCATGCTCAGCACAGAGCCCAACACAGGGCTCGATCCCACAACCCTGGGATCATGACCTGAGCTGAAATCGAGTCAGACACTCAATCAGCTGAGCCACCCAGGTGCTCTCAAATCACTGTGCTTTTAAGGTCATTTGAAATATTTCTTGTCTCTGTACTTTGGCCATTCTTATTATACCTTTAGACTGGTTTATTTTTCTTTTTACTTTTAGGAAATTATTTTCAAATTAAATTTTGTTTAGAGCTATGTAAAATATTGACATGATTTCAAAGACCAATCTACAAAACATAATGTACCAGAAAATCCAATTTCTATCCCTATCTCTTCAATACGGTTTCCTTCTTCTTCCAATGTGTAGATATTTTTAAAGTGTTTGGCTTATTTTTCCACTGATTTTTTCTTTTCTTTTTAAATAATTTTAGATTTACAGAAAGTTGCAAAGATAATACAGAAAGTTCTCATATACTTTTCATCCAGTTTCCCCTATTGCTACATCTTACCAAACCATGATACACTTTTCAAAACTAAGAAATTACCACTGGTATAATACTACTAACTATGAACTTCTTTCAAATTTAATTATATTATTATTGTCCCACTGATGTCTTCCTTCTGGGCCAGGATCCCATCCAGGATCCTGCACTAGATTTACTTGTCATGACTCCTTAGTTGTCTCCAATCTGAAATGGTTTATCAATCTTTCTTTGCCTTTCGTGATTTTGACACCTTTGAAAAGGACTGGCCATGTGTAGCAACATGGATGGACCTTGAGGGTGTTATGCTGAGCGAAATAAGTCAGGCAGAGAAGGACAAATATCATATGTTTGCACGTATAGGAGGATTAGGAGGAACTTAACTGAGGAACATGAGGGAGAAGAAGGGGGGAAATGGTGGGGGAAAGGGAGAGAGGCAAACCATGAGAGACTCTTGAATGCTGACAAAAACTGTGGACGGGGGGGGGGGGGGGGGGGGGAGATGGGCATGGAGGAGGGCACTTGTGGGGATGAGCACTGGGTGTTTTATGGAAACCAATCTGACAATAAACTATTTGTAAAAAAAAGAAAAAAAGAAAGAAAAGGACTGGCCAAGTATATAAAGTTCTTTAATTTGAGTTTAAATGATGGTTCTTCATGGTTAAATTCAGGTTATACATTTTAGGTAAGAAAACCATAGAGGTGATGCTGTGCCCTTCTCAGTGCATCCTATCAGGAGGTACACAATTCAATTAACCCCATTACCAATGAGGTTAATTTGGTTAAGGTGGCATCTGCCTAGGTTTCTCCACTATAATGTTATTATTTTCCCTTTGTAATTACTAAATATTTGGGGGGAGATACATTTAAACTATGCAAACATGTTATTTCTGGTTAAACTTGCTTTTTTCAAAGTTTATTTATTTATTTTGAGATGGGGCGTAGGGGCAAAGAGAGAGAATCCCAAGCAGGTCCCACACTGTTAGCACAGAACCTGACTTGTAGCTCGAACCCACAAACCACGAGATCATGACCTGAGCTAAAGTCAGACACTTAACTGACTGAGCCACTCAGGCACCCCAAAACTAGATTTTTTTAAAAAGCTGGGTGATGAGTATGTGGGGATCATTGTATTAGACTCTTTTGTCTGTTTTTGAAAATGTCCATAACAAAGTTTTTTTAAACAGCTTTATTGAGGTATAATTCACATATTATATCTGCTTAAATTTTTATCTGCTAATTTTAACATCCATTATTAATTTGCCTAAAACAATTATTACTGTAGCTTTTGTCAAATGGTGAGTTTCTATTTCCATCATTCTTTCCATATTTATTATTAAAATCTCATCAAAAAAGAACTTCTCTTTCATTTATCATTTTACTCACTTACTTATGTCAGTATGGATTCATGGATATTTATCTTATTCTATTGGTTATAATCCATTACTATCATAATTTGTTTTGATGCTAGTATTTTCCCAGCTTTGGCCATTGAGAGCTTCTTCACATTGACTCACATGCCCTTTCAACCCATCCCCATGCGTTTTGAGCACTTTTACTTTCTGACACCATAAGATGTTTCTTGTATTTTCCCTGCCCCAGCCCTGGAATCAGTCATTTCTCTAAGGAGTCCTAGTTCCTTTTACTGGATAATGGTATTTTAAAGCCAAGATTTGAGCACTATATGTGGTCCTTGTTATTGGGGTGTCACTGAACTTCATCAAAATTATTATTATTATTACTATTATGTTCTACAAAAGGTACTGTGAAGAAAATGAAAAGACAAGCCACAGATTGATTAAAAAATATTTCTAAAGCATTTATTTGATAAAGAACTTGTTCCTAGAGTATTAAAAAACTTCTCAAAACTCAGTAGTAAGGGGTGTCTGGCTGGCTCAGTCAGTAGAACATGTATCTCTTGATCTCAGGATCATGAGGTCAAGCCCCAGGTTGGCCATAGAGCTTACTTAAAAAAAAAAAAAAAAAAAAGCACACCTCAATAGTAAGAAAATAAACAACCCAATTTAAAAATGGGCCAACGGGCTCTTGGGTGGCTCAGTCAGTTGAGTGTCCGACTTCAGCTAAGGTCATGATCTCATGGTTTGTGGGTTCAAGCCCCACAATGGGCTCTGTGCTGAGAGCTTGGAGCCTGGAGCCTGCTTCAGATTCTGTATTTCCCTCTCTCTCCCTGCCTCTCCCCCACTTGTGTTTGCTCGCTCTCTCTCTCTCTCTCTCTCTCTGTCAAAAATAAAAATTAAAAATTAAAAAATTTTAATGGGCCAAGAATCTGACTAGACTTCAGTAAAGATACACCGGTGGCAAATGAGCATATGAAGAGATGCTCAACATTGTTAGTCATTTGAATGTGCAGATCACACCACAGTGACACAATATTATACACCTGTTGAACTGCCAAACTTGAAAAACAAAAACTGATAGTACCAAGCACTGGTGAGGATACAGAGCAACTAGGACTCTTATACCCTGCTGGAGGGGATGCAAAATGGCATGGAAGATGGTGTGGCAGTTTCTTATAAAGTTAAACATACACTTCAGACACAACTCCGCAATCCCACTTCTAGGAATTTACCCAAGAACAATACAAATTTATTATGTTCACACAAAAACTTTACATAAATGTTTATATTGGCCTTATTCATAATCACCAAAAACTAGAAACAACCCAAATATCCCCCATTGGAGAACATATAAACAAATTGATACTCTCATTTCTTGGCAATGAAATGGAACAAACTACTGATAAAACATATAACAATATGGATAAACATCAACTGCATTATGCCAAATGAAAGAAGCCAGATGCCAAAGGCTACATCCTGTATGACTCCATTTATATGCCATTCTGCAAAAGACAAAACAATAGGGACAGAAAACAGATAAATGCTTACCAGGGACTAGGGTTAGGGTACAGGATAATTACAAAAGAGCACCAGGGAATTTTTTAAGTCAATGAAAATGTTCTATATTTTGCTTGCCATGGTAGCTATGTAAGTGTTAAATGTAACACGTCATGGTGGTTACATGCATTTGTCAAACTTTACAGACTATATACCAAAAAGAATGAATTTCCCATATATAACCTATTCTTCCGTTTAAAATATGGGGGGGGGGCAGGTGGGAGGGCAGATGAGAAATTCAAATCACATCTCTGAAACTCCAGATTATCTGCCTTGTCAAAGGCTGTCCACAACACTTAACAGGGTGCCATTTAAATTTTCTATAACTTTTTGTGTTTCCGTGATCATAGGCCTGGAAATAGCCACGAATCACCATGTGGATAAAGTGCCTTGGACATTTGGAACAGAGTTTTACAAGAAAAGATGAGAAGAGCAGCTATTCTTCTATGCTGATAAAAGGTGTAAGAAATAAACCACGTTAAGAGGCTTAAAGGCCTAGAGTTCTGGCAATCTTAATTTAAGAGATGCAGGTGGGCCAATTACTCTCTTCGAATAAAAGGCAGAAAATCTTCCCCAGCTTTGTTCAAGCCAGTGAGTCATTCTGTATGAATCTCTTCATAAGGATTCCTCAAAGCGCCAGGCATTGCTCATTACTGTGGCTGGGAAGAGGTGTCCACTTGCTCTGAAGAGCTTTCTCTGCTCTGTCCTCTCTAAACCTGAAGTTGGGTTTGTTTTCATCCTAATGTCTTTCTCCCCTCTCCCAATTAAATCCACATCTCTTTCTTCATCCCTAACAGCCATTCTATCCTAATTAGGCCAGGCCTTTGCAAGCCGTGACCCACAGGCCAAATCTGGCCTGCTGTACGTTTTTGTACAACCTGTGAGTGAAGAATGGTTTTTCACATTTTTTTAATGGTTGAAAAAAACCAAAAGGAGAATAATATTTCATGAAGCATGAAAATTATATCAAATGTGAATTTCACTGTGCATAAATAAAGTTTTATTGGAACATAGCCCTGCCCATTTGTTTCTGTATTATCTATGACTGACTACTTTAGCTCTCCAACAATAGGGAAACTGCAGAAAACAAAAAACCATGTGACTTGCAGAGCCTAAAATATTTACTATTTGGCCCTGTACAGAAAAAGTTTACCGACCGCTAATTTAGGCATTTTCATTCTCTTGTCTGTATGTTGATGTCCATGCTGTAAGTTTATAAAAAGGCAAGGCTAAGCAGCATCCTTTCCACACTAGATCATGTCTCTATGACATCGTAACAAATTGTGCCCTTGCAGAATACCTTTTGCTGCTGCTAAGGGGAATAAAGACACGTAGCATTCCAGTAGGAAAAGAAATAATTTGAGGAAAACAGTGGATTTCTTCTTTCTAAAACTATCTACTGTGGGTGCCTGGGTGGCTCAGTCTGTTAAGCACTGGACTTCAGGTCAGGTTATGATCTCACAGTCCATGAGTTCGAGCCCCACATCAGGCTCTGTGCTGATAGCTCAGAGCCTGGAGCCTGCTTTGGATTCTGTGTCTTCCCCTCCTCCACTCATGCTCTATCTCTCTATCTCTCTCTCTCAAAAATAAATAAATGTTAACATTTTTTAATAAAATAAAATGAAACTATCTACTTAGGTGTTCCATGTTAAGAGTATTCCAGTCTTATAGGAGATTTGTAGAGTCCAAAGCAATTACTCTTCCCCATCACTTCGCAATATCCAGCCACTCAACTCAAAGAACACTTTACCATATCTATCAACTCTGCAAGTTACATTGTCTTTCCAATGTAAGTATAAGGGTAACAATCATATCCAGAATTGTGATGAGCAAGTTACACTGATTCTGGGCATTTGTCTACAGCTGCTCATATTCTAGCATTGCTCATATTTTCTTTTAACATTAATCAGATTATAAAGCCAAATGATAGGAGTGCCTGGGTGGCTCAGTTGGTTAAGCATCCGACTTCGGCTCAGGTCACGATCTCATGGTTCATGGGTTCGAGCCCTACGTCGGGCTCTGTGCTCACAACCAGCTCAGAGCCTGGAGCCTGTTTCGGATTCTGTGTCTCCCTCTCTCTCTGTCCCTCCCCTGCTCTCTCTCTCTCTCTCTCTCTCAGAAATAAATTAAAAAAAATAAAAAAAAATAAAGCCAAATGATATAGGAAAAAGACTGTTGGGCCTAACATAGGATTGAGAGTCCAAAATTTGCATTTATATTTTGGTTATGCCACTTACATTGGGTGAATTTCCTAACACCATGTAGCCCTGATGTTCTTATCTGCAAAATGGGAATAAAAATTACCCTTCATGGGACTTCTGGGAAGTAGTAATAATTATGTGAAAGCAACATGCTTGTGTGACGATGATAATGATGATGATGACAATGATGACAATGATGATGAAAATGATAACGTTCATTCTATCTTGTGGTCCCCTTCTCTTATGCCCCCTCAACCTCTCTACAATTATTTCTCAGCTATTAGGAAAGCCATTCTGCTAAGTAAGAGGTTTTCTCAACCACTGTGGCCAGCAAATTGTTAAAAAATCAGTTTAAACTTTTTGATTAATCATTCCTATAAACTCACTTGACTAATGTCGGCCCTTAAGTGGACAAAGACTAAGCAGTTTAATATTGCTTTTATTCTGTACTTAGGGAAAAAGTCTCATTTTCAATTAGCAGGATCAAAGATACCTCACTAATAGGAGATGATGATCAATTAATTATGAGCTACACTGCCATAAAAAGAAAATATTCACCTCCCTTCTGCAGTCTTATTATCCTTCAAAAACACTGGGGAAGAATCATCAAATACATCAATGACTGTCAGATCTCATGAGTTCTGAAGTAACAATTTAAAATGTGATTAACCATTTCTATTGAAAATATACCCATTAAGGGCCACGAAGGGACAAAAACAACTGGCGTTAGATGCCAACATAACATTATGAATAATGTCAATGCCTATGTGATGGGTGCCAATTTGACTTACGTTGAAAAACAAATGGTTTAATATTTAACGTAATGTTTTTATATTTAGAAAACTCACTTCTCCACTTAAGACCCTTCAAAGGGTTTTTGCTGATTATTGATTATTGCTGAAGCCTGCTGCTGGAGAACCAATACAATAAACTTTGGTTTGTCTCAGACACAGATATGAGACTATAAAAGAAATAGGAACTACTCAAGCTTGTGCTTTCTGTTGAAGACGAAGAGTCCTGGGGAGAAGGACTAAGCTGAGAATGGCTGGTGGGAGGCAGGGCAAGGTGGGAGGCCAGTCAAATTCAGCCAGTTACATGGTGATAGATTTCACTGTCACCTTTAACCAATCCATGTCCAAACCAAGTATCTATGATGAATTCATTTATCCATCCAACAACCATTCCCTGGATGTGTACTATGTACCAGGCCATGTGCCAGGCACTGGGGATTTAATAGCACTGAAGTAGGGGTCAGAGGCTTGGGTTGTAGTCCTAAACCAAATGCCAACCGGTTGTGTAAAATAGGGAAATGTTGCTGTATGAGCCAGGTTTTAAGTTCACAAATGTTCTCTCTCCATTCTCATGCAATTCTGTGACTATGCTTCTTGAGTGTTCTTAACCTAAATCAGGAAGATCTGTTTCTTCGAAGGCAGTATTTGAAAGGTTCAGAATTCTAAAAGACTGGTTAGAAGGGTTGTTATTGTTGTTGTTGTTGTTTTGAAACCGTGTCTTTTATTCTATTGAAGATTATATGCAATAGGAATTGGATACTACTCACAAAGTCTGTTGGTCATCTGCTTGTTTCTTTGCTTTAAGTATCTCCTATTACCCAGCAGTAAAGACCCCACCCCCTGGGACATGCTCCCTGGGATGAATATTGGCCTCAGACAAAGAGATCTGCTTTGCTCTTTAATACCTAAGATGATTACAAATAATGACCACTGAAAAAGAAAAAAAAAGTTTTTTGATATCCCAAACTAATGCAATATTCACAACTAGACCTTGATACAAAGCTCATCAGATACAGCCAGGCCACTTCTTTTCTCCTGTTGGATATAAACAAACTGACAGAACACCAGTCTCAAACAAGGTTATTCTGGGATCATGATAAAATGAAACAAAACAAGAATACTTCACAATTTTGATTAAGCACAAACAAAACAAGGTCACTGTGCAACCCATAAAATACCCAATCATAGAATTACCCTAACTTTCTGACAGCATCCAATCTAAACTCCTGCCCCCTAACTCAGCCAACTGAAGCCCAAATCTTATAATATGTTCTTTCTAACACTCTTACTGAGGGTGCCCTGCAATGAGTAATAAACTCAACTTATTTAACTAAGTGTGCTTTCAGTGATCTTTGGCTAAAAAGCATTGACACCTCCAAATACATCTTTTTCTCCCTCATCTGGAACGCCAAGAGCCAGGCTGATAGGAATATTACAGAGGTACAAGCGCACAAAAATTCTCACCACATACAGCCAGCTGTAAAGACTTGGCAGGAGAACGCTGTGCTCCAGTTGTCCCTTTTCTATCATTTATTTAATTACCTCTTGGAGGGGCGCCTGGGTGGCTCAGTCTGTTAAGCGTCTGACTTCAGCTCAGGTCATAATCTCACAGTTTGTGGGTTTGAGCCCCGCCTTGGGCTCCGTGCTGACAGCTAGCCCAGAGCCTGGAGCCTGTTTCAGGTTCTCTGTCTCCCTCTCTCTCTGACCCTCACCCGCTCATGCTGTCTCTCTCTCTCAGAAATAAATAAACATTAAAAAAAGTTTTAAAAAAAAGAATATTTAATTATCTCTTGGAAATGGAATCTCCCAAGCCTGACCATAAAGAGAGGAAATTGGACTAGAAAGGAATTTCCCAAACTGTGCTCCTTGGGGAAACCCGAGTTCTTCAAATGTTGATGGGTGTTTACAGAAAGGATTCTGTGGGGAAACCGAGTTTGAGAAACTGCATTCTAGAGTAAATCCCTTCTTATAGCTCTAGTCCTAGCTCTGTAAGCTAATTTGAGAGATTTTTAAACCTCTCTTTACTTAATTCTCAGTTCCTTATCTGCAAAATAATTCTTGGAATATGCCCTGTGCATTCCCAAGTGTTGGGGAGCAAATGAAAAATGTGACAGACAAGTATTTCAAAAACAGGAGAGTGTTCTGTTCAGGCGAGACATGGAGGCAACAATGAGATCCTTAAGGGCAAAAGCCTAACCCAGAAATCAGGCCAAGAAGATGCATGTGTGAACCAGAGCGAGCATACTGAGGAAGGAGAGGCTGAGTATTCCAGGGCTGTGCCTGGGCGACAAACCACTTGGAAACTTGCATAGAATGGTCATTTACTATGTTCACAGATTTTGTAGGTCAGAAGTTTGAACAGGGCATCATGGGGACAGCTTGTCTCTGCTCTAAAATGCCTGGGACCTCAGCTGGGAAGTTTCAAATCTGGGAGTGACCCAAGGATGGGGAGCTCCATTTATTTATCTTGAGGGCTTCCTCACTTCCATGTCTGGTAGTT